ACGAAATTAGATATTTAAACGAAGAATAACAATCTTATCAATAATATCATAAAATATTTTCTTAGTAAAAATATAGGCTGACATCACTCATCATCATAATGGTTTTTCGTATGCAATGATTTATCACTAAATTCGAACTCAACACATACATTGTAGTGACTTACTTCTCAATGACGAAGTAAACTCGACACTGATAACTGCACAACAAATTGTATTATATTTAACAAATTAAATATAATCCCCTGGCAATTGCATCTCAATTACATAATATATATATATATATAATATATATATTTAAACGGCAATAAGCACTAAATATAGGAAACGAAATCATAAATAATATGTGATGGTGATGTATAACCCAATTAAAAATTAACTCAAATTCATTAAAACGTACCTGTTCTACTATTTGAATAGGCGATGGATACGTGCGATCAGAGGGTRTTGTCGCCGTGCTTTTACAAAAATCCAAAATGGCCAAGCGCATCTACGCAGGTTTGTTGAATACGGGAAGTAACGCTGACGGTTACAAAGACGAGGGTATCACATTCCCTTCGCAAGAAATGCAAATCTCTCTGTTTAGGCAAGTCCAAGAAGAGGTCGGCGTTAAATCGACTCATTTGACTTTCATGGAAGCTCATGGGTCTGCCACTAAGGTGAGTTTTTTCCGCTAAAAATTATAATAAAATAATATCAAATAGAACATACACTTTTCAAAAACAATRTTACGGATTTAACAGAGTCGCAATTCATTAAACAAAAATTCAAATCAGATATTATTATTACTATTATTTTTTCGTTACAATAATAATAAATAAAAAAAATAAACATTATAACTATTTATTGTGGCGATAAATTATTGAAAATAATCATATTGCAATCGATGCGCTTAAAGTAGACAAGCATGTTAATCCCTTTTTCACATAATAATGCTATTTATTTAAAACATGTGATTTTTCAGGTGGGCGATCGTCAAGAAGTTGGCGCAATCGTCGAAGTGTTCTGCAAAGGGAGGACATCTCCACTCCTCATCGGCGCTCTCAAATCGAACATGGGGCACGGAGAACCGGCTTCCGCCTTGTCCGCTGTCATAAAAGTCCTCGTGGCCATGGAATGTAGACTTTTACCTCCCAACTTGCATTACAACATACCGAACCCGGACATCCCTGCCCTGGTAGACGGGAGATTAACCGTTAGTACAACCGCCACGTCAATTGACGCGTTGTATCGATCTAAGCGGTAGTCGTTAATTTTTTTTTTATTATTATTATCATTAAGGTCGTGGAAAACGTCGTTCCATGGGACGGCGGTATTGTCGCAGTCAACTCTTTTGGAGTGGGTGGTGCCAATGGACATTGTCTGATGAAGTCGTACACTCAGCAGAAGAAAGAACAGCAAGTACTAGAAGAGGATTTACCTAGATTGGTGGCTGTGTCAGCCAGAAACGAAAGTGCCATAAATTACATGATAAACCGAGTAATTATTTTATTGTTTGTTCTTATGATTTTTTACCATGGTATTTTATACTTAATGATAAAAGGAGGAAATTAAATTTTAGAATTTTTAATTTCCAACAGATACATTTTAAAATTCAGCATATTTATAATTTTAGTATGTATAAAAAATKTACACGTTTAGGTTTCATCTTTAAATTACTTTTATGAAACTATTACATTTCTTCTTAGAAATATTTTTAAATTTCATATGACTTCAATAGACTTCGTTTACTGTTAGATCGATCAAATGCCCAGGGACARAGAGTTCTATGCCTTGTTGTATGGAGTCCACAGCGAAAACATATTTGGCCACAAATACAGAGGTTATATACTGTTTAATGGAATGTACGACAAACACCGTAAAATCGCTGTAAGATAACAAAAACTGATGGAAATTTGTTAGTTATTTCAAATGTATACTATTTCAACATACTTTACACATTTCAGGAGTTTGACCAACAAAAAAAACCAGTTGTTTTTGTCTTACCCGGTGTGGAGGCCTATTGGTCTGATGTGGGTAAACAATTAAAACGTTTGCATGTGTTCAATGAGTCCATCACGCAGAGCGCGAATTTGTTAAATCAAAAAGGGTTTAATTTACTTTCARTGTTGAGAAATACAGATCCCGTAACAATAAATGATCCATCTATGTCTGTCGTAGCTACGACCGTTGTTCAAGTATACGTTTATCATAATACTACACCA